GTGTTTAGCAATCTATGTGATTGTAATCTGAGAGCAATCAAAACCTCATTTTCACAAGCCGTGACAATCTACTGCTTCAGTATTAAACAAAAAACAATAAAGAGTATTGTTAACTGATTTGATCTACATTTACTTTCAGATTCTTGCCAAATGCCAAGGCAGATTCTTAGCTCTGATCATAGTAGAGATCCTCTTCTAAATCCTGATGCAGTTAGAGAGAGACAACAAGCAATTCTCAAAGGATTGTCAGAATTACGACAGGTAAGCAGAATGTTGCTGGATAAAAGTGTGTATTTATACATTAAAAGTCAAGATGAATGTTGCAAACTATTACATAGTTAGAAGCATTAGCCTTTAATTAATTCTTTCATCCTACATGATTAAGGTTTGGGCCCTCTCCTCTACACTTTTGTTCCCTCTCACTAATTTTGCTTTTCATGCAATACTTCCACATTTGGAGTGTCATCCAGAGGGACTATGGACTCTTTAGTCCTTAGATGAGCTATGAAACTGAGGAATACCTGAGAAAGCTTGAAGCCAAGAGGAATGGCTTCATTTAGTCTCCAGGTTTTGATCATTAGGGTTGCTTATAAGAATGTTTCAATTTCAGGGGGAAAAAGAATCATGTTTTAGCAAAACACTAGAACTCTTTTTAATGAAATTTCACTCCTGCATTTCATGAGTGAGCCCAAAAGATGGTAACCATGAAGTTATATATTTTCCTGATTGGAGTCAGAATGCCAGGAAAAAAAGTCAGGCATCTCATTATTAAAACTTGAGTGAATTTGATACTTTACCTGTTTGGCAACAAGATGCGGCCTGTGACAGATTAAAGCTGTTGGTCTGAACAATCACTAAACAGCTTCCTTTTATGCTTCTAAATGTCCTGACAGGGGACTGCAAGACAAAGAAAACACATTCACTTTTATGTTTGCATTTTGTTCTTGTAGAACACTAAAGATAAACATGTATCAGTATCATCCCTGGTTTTTGAAAGGCTCCGTACTAGAAGTACTTTCTTACTAGCAGCACTAGTAATATCAAAATAAAGAGAAAATTTGACAGCCTTAAGTACAGAAAAGGTACCAATAGTTTATGCTATTATTACGTGCTGTGCTTTAGAAAGACACAAGTTCTGCCACACATACATTGTGCTATGGGAGCAGATTAATTCCTTGTGCAAGCAAAAATGGTCATGGCTCTTTCCAAGGTATTAAGAGAAGTTGCAACCCAGGAAGTCTGAAAGGTTGCCAGTTTCTAATGTCTTCCAAATGGGTTTCACTGGGCCTGGTCTTCCCCAGTGCTCATTAATGTTTTTGTTAAATATCTGCAACTGTTCAGTATTTTGTATTCAGGTTTCATTTCTCAGTGGTATTTTGGTTAAGAGTAAAGTGAAGCCACTTTCAAAGCAGAGTTTGATCCTTGCACTTGGCTGAGGAGCAAAAATCAAAAGCTATTGATATTTAAAGTTATTTCAAGTTATTTCAAGTTATTTAAAAATTATTGATATTTAAAGAGGGTGAAGGTGATAATACCCACTTTGACAAACTTAGGAGGCAGGCACTTAGGGACATTTTTGATGCGTAGTGTATATTCAGGCTGTAACAGTAGCTAAGATTAGTCTTTCAGTGGGCCTTGGCTCCGGGAGAGAGTTAACTGAAAACATGTCAAGTTCTTTTTTAAATGTCCTACCAGCTGCAGAATGCACGTAGGACTTTGTCAGCTGCTGAAGTTGGGTGCGCACTCCTAACAGATGGCAGCTGTTTAGCATCAGTTACTCCACTTTGCAAAAAGCAAAGATTACTTTTCTACTTCAGAAGATAATCGTCTTGTTTATAAAATTTTTATATACATGCATATATTGATAGTTTCAGAATATGCAAAAATTCACAACACAGTTGGCCATTCTTTAGTCTTCGTATTTGACCAGTCTTGAGCCTCTGAAATACAGTCAGTACATACCAGAGCATCTCCGTTTCAAAACCACTTGCCAGCAGGTTGTAGCCTACAGTGACTAAGCCAAGTGCCAGCCACCAGCAGGCTGTCCACGAACAGGCAAAGAAAGACCTAGTGACTTGTCCCTGCAGAAGCCTTTCACATTGCTTGTGTCTAGGCCCTTTTTATTACCTTTGCAAACCACATGATAGACTTTGTTCCACTTCTCGGTGCTACTTTTTTGTCCCCTCAGCTCTGCATTGATTTAGGGCACTTTACGGCATGACTGACTTCATTTTGTAACATGCTGTAACAAGCTAAGTGCAAAACCACTCCACAACAATTGATAAAGGGACTGCAGAAGTCACAGTCAGGGTTTAGTACTTATGAGAGCCATTAACAAAGCAGGAACTTTTTACCCTTTGAAAGTAAATGTGTGTATCCTTAACCGTCTGCACTGTTCTAACTCAAATGGCAATGCTGACCTTTAGCTTAGAGTATAATTTAAGACTAAAAGCTGGTACCAGAACAGGCTGGAATGCTACAGCTGTAAGTGACAATGCACAGAAGAGTTAAGAAAGTTAATACAGTGCAAAAGTCACCTCTGGAAACTGGACTGGCTCCTACTTCTGCTACACATGGAGTCTTTTGCACAACATGGGATAACCTCAGGTTCCCTCTCTACTGAATGTGTTACATTGTACTGCTTTTGTCTATTTACAAAGCATTACGCTTTCACAATTCAATAACAAGCAGTGACATGTTACTTCTTTGGGCTGCATGAGGAAGACAGAACATTCACATTAATACTCTATTTCAGGGCCTTTTGCAGAAGCAGAAGGAGTTGGAGACTGCTCTGATGCCCAGCATGGCTCAGGAAGAGAACTTTATTTCACCATTTTGACAGGTACTTGGGAATTTCCTGGATTCTTAAAATGCCAATGCACAGCACTTTGCTACTGTAATGAATTGTGAACCATCTCTTATCTTTTTAATAAAACATTTAAATTATGTGAATTTTGATAGATTACAGCATCATGTTTCTTTTAATATTGAAGATGCATTAAATTAATGACGGTGTGTCTGTTTAGAATGGTCTTCATGCTGTCTGAAGACATGTCCATTTAATATAAGCCATCAAAACAGTATAAAAATGTTAAATGTGGGTTTTTTTTAGAATGTGCTGGATACATTTTGATAAATAAAGCCATTAAGCTGTATTCTGGATGGCTTGGGTAGACTGGGTTGTTATTTTTAACTGTGTGAAACAGCTTGTACTTAACTATTCAGTCACCTTTTAGGCATAGACATTGTGTGATAACTCTAGTAATTCCAGGATTTAAGCCCACGTAAGTGCTAACTCTAAAACGTTTCCCCCTTCTCAATTAAACCAGGATAAGAGAACTTAACACTGCAATGGGCTGGGCCCAAGGCAGTGGAACTCAGTTTAAGGAAGTTTCCTCATAAACAGGGTCTGCAGGGATCAATATTCAGTGCTTCCAGTCAGAATTGTTCAGATGAGTTTGCTTTTAGTTTTCACAGGATAACCTGGGGGAACTTCTTTCTCTTCCAGATCTCTGCAGAAGATGCATAGCCTGAGTTTGTGGTAGTGGTTCTATGACCTGATGTGGTAAATACCACAGAACCTCCAGCCTGAGGATCTTCCCTGGATCTGCTGTTGGTAGCCACAGCCTGAACCTGAAGCCATCTCACAGCAGTGAAGGGAAGAAAGGCTCTCAGGGGTGTGCCCCATCCTGCAGGTGGCAAGACTCTGTGCTCTGCACTGCGGGTGGACAGCAGTTCTTCACAAGAGCCATTGAGGTCTATTGATACAGGGGAGTTTTTTCTTTGATAATGCATTTGCCATGGTTGGTGGGAGGGTGACAGCTGCTATTGCAGCCTAGGACTGGCTTGTTCTTGATGTAAAAAACCAAACAAGTGATAATAGAAGTAAAGATCTTCAAATTTAAGGATAAGTCTACGGGGTTTGTTTTTTTTAAAGCTACCCTTTTTTGACCTGTAGTATTTGTCCCAGGTAATGAGTTCAGAGTCATGTAGTTTCCATCACTGTCATCTGGTATTAAACCACACATCCTCTATAAACACACTAAAATAAATTACAAACAGGAAAAAACAACCAACCAAACCAACTTGAAGCCAAGAGCAGTGACTATAGGAGCAGAGAGTGAGTACCCACAACGCCAGCAGTGTCAGAGCAAGGGTCCTCTAAAAAGACTCCACATCTAATGCCAGCAGCTGCCATTTTCCAGAAGCTGACTTGGAAGATGAGGTATGAAATAAGACAACTGAGAGAGAAACACTGGGAAAAATATGTTATAATTCAGCATATATGAAATTAAAGAAATAACAAATTGATAAAACTCTGTACTTACACCACAATTCCAATTTAAAGAATAACAAAAACCAAGGAAGGCCCCAGTAACCATTACGCTGAAGGGGAAGAGGATGGAGATTTCTCAAATGCAACCTGGACTACCAGAGTCATTAAAGCAGGTCTGTACAGAAATAACAATGGCAAGATAAAGGTTGTGAGATGGCTTTGATGGTGCTGCAGTAAGCATTGAGCAGCCACAGTAGACATGAGGATAATCACTATTCCTCAGAGTTTGGATGTGTTTCTTACAGGCTCTGAAATGAATATAAAAACCACAAACATGGCAACGTGTTAGCAAGTCCCTTGTGCATTAAGAGTTTATTTTATTTTGTAATGCAACTGCACCATTGGTTACTCTGAGGTATTTAGCCAAGATCCAGTCTCTAGTCATTAAACTAACTACACTGACTTATAGTCACATAAAAACATTTGTACAAAATTTGTGTCAAATAAATACGTAAGTTTTTATATTTATGAAAAAAATGTTAAGTTGGATACTCTTACAGTAAAAAACAAAACAAAACCAAAACCAAACCTCACTGTTTCACATATTTTAGGCAAACATTCAGTTTTACAATTAAACAGACCCTCGAAAACTGAAGCCCGGGTACAGGCCAAATACAAATGTAGAAACTTAAAAGTGCCAACAAGGAAGATAATTCAAGTACAATAATGCTAGGAAATATATTTATTTCAATCTTCAGATGCTTCCAACAGGTACAGGCCCTCAGGCTTTAAACAAGACAAGAAAACATTTGAGAACAAGCACAAGAAACGTTTTGTTCCAGAATAGAAATTGTTAACCAACCATTTTAGAAACAGAAACGTCCACAGCGACTTACAAAAAGAGACTTGGGAGTTTATTTCTGGTTTGATTATGATCTGGAAGAATCACAACTTGCATCCCAGCCACCAGGCGATGATGACTTTTCTGTATCCACACTCTGACTGTACGCAGATAGAAAATAGTTGCCCCCTTCTTGGTTTTGATTTGCAGATGAGATGGGGTATGTTCCCAGAAAAGTCTGATGAGTGAGAACATTAAAGTGACTGAACTGGTGGGACATGTTTAACTGTGTGCTGTAAACCTGGAAATTACTGAAAGGAGCTTGTTCAGCCGAACTGTGGTTCTCTCCTTCAGTAGAGCATGTTGTAGAAACTGGAGTCATTGGCTTTATCTCTTCCAAGTCAACTTTAGAAGTCTTTTGCAACAGGGCAGCTGGTGCTGCAGGAGGTAACTCTGTAACTGTCAGACTGCTTTCTCTGCAGTCTGCACCCTTGGCCTTTGCCTGCACAGTTGCCACATGATGAACATCACTGCAGATTTCTATTTGTGCTGTTTCGTCCCCTGAATCCAGAGACATGTCCTCCTCATCCTTTACATCATTTTCTACATTTTCTAGATTAGAAGACAGAGAAAGTTCTATTCTATTGGAATACACACTTGTGTTAGAAAAGCTATACACTACTCACAAAGTGTTATGCTTCAGGTCTGCAAGTCCAGTATCATTTATGTCTTGGTCTTCTGCCACTCAACACACACCACGTAACCCTCTGTGTGACTGTCCAGTTATTCTGATGCTAAAGCTTCTGCGCACTGTGTTCATGCTTAGTGTTGGGAAATCCCAACTCCCAGTTCCAAGGGGGTTAATGTCAAACCAGCATCTAAAGTTACAGCAGGTGAGTATTTAATCAGTCAGTTAAAGGAGTACAGTTACTAACAGCTCAGTTTCAAGTCCATTTCTCTCCTGAGAAAACAGAGGTTGCACCACTCTACTTTCTCAAGCACCCTGCTAGGTAGGCTAGGAGCTATGTGTAACATACACTCTGGTGCTCCAGCCCCACTGCTTTTCCCCCATCATTTAGACCAGAAGAAGAGTAGCTGCGAGTTGGGGTTTCCTTGCCAGGGGCAGTGTTCATTACAAGTGTACAGGCACCCTGTCCCCACGCCCTCCACCCCACCCCATCTAACTCAGTAAATAAAGTCTTAAATGTGTTCCATATTACCTGATTGGGTTCTGTGTGTGTCAGTGGGAGAAAGGCTGTTCTCCTCAGTGACTGAGCTGTGATACCCAACGAGGCTTTTAAAATTGTGCATGAAGTCATCAACAGCAGCAACCACTATTCCATTATCAACATAAATCGAAAGTGGTTTGAGATTCTTTTCTAAAGACATAAAAGAAGATTTTGTATTAATATTTGCACTTATTATCAAAAAAAGGGAGAGAAGCAGTCATGTCATTACCTGTTAAGAAAACAACATGTCTCTGCTGTATGTTTTGAGCCTGAAGCCTGATGAGACAGTCCAGTTCTGGGGCATTTCGAGTCTGAGAATCACAATTATGGTAGGACAGAATCTCAACCAAGTGCTGCTTTTGGTAGGTGTTCAGAAGGCTCAGCAGGCTCAGGGCATTGGCATTCATCCTATGATGGAAAAAGTGTGCTGTTAGATACTTGATTTAAGCTCAGTCTAAATATTAAGTCAAAAGACAGTAAGTTCCACTAACTGGGTGCTGGAGAGCACAGTTAAAGCTGAAGCATTTTAACAACTGGTTAAAGTTGAAGAGCACTACTTACCTCCCCAGCTCTTTAAGTTTCTTTTGTATTTTGCAGTGGACCTTCCACTGCCATTTCCCATCTGGGGTATTGAGCTCCTCCAGGAATTTTAAGAACTGTTTTAGTTTATCTGTTTTGGAGATATTGAATAAAAGTTATATTTTGTGGTATATAAACTGAACATACTGCTTCAGCATACACATAAATCTTGCTGTTTTAAAAATGTAGTTATACAAGTATGAATATTGGCCCAGGACTCCGGGTTTTCTTCCTAGCAGATCAACCAAGAACAGTATCCCAAAACTAAGGTGCTTTTTTTGCAAGTCAGATCCCTAACAGTGGTATCTGCTATGTAAAAGCTGAATTCAGTCACAGAGTCTGACTTGCTAAAACAGCTATTTAAAAACCTGGTAACTCTGTTAAACTATTCCATTTCAAATAAAGAGAAAATGGGGAAAAAAGTAGGTTTTCAGTATTTTTTTCCTAGCAATTTGTGGAGCGAGGAGCAGGAAGTAACAGGCTCCACATATGTAACTACACCACACGTAACTATACCATCTAACACAAACTTAGACAAGATCCTCAAGTCCCCATGTTTCCCAAAAATATGTTCTCCAAAACATCCACCAAGGTAAGGACGAGACTGAATTAACTGAAGTTCTCCAACAACCTCACAAAAATGAGAAGTCTTGGAAATCAGAAAATCTGATTCTTCCCTGTGGTGAGTGTGGCACCTCTCGCATATACTGAATCGTTGGGGTTTTCTAGTCTGCGTTTTATAGCTTCAGGAAGCATCCACTTACCTGTAGAGATGGACTCCGGATTAAGGACAGATTCGTCTGACACAACAAAACCACCAGATACAAACAACTCATTGTAAGTGTGATTTTTCACATCATCCAGGCTATCGACACCCGCAAAGCTGACACAGGAAAGCCTCTTCAAAGTTACTAGGCCAGGTATCTGTTTAAAACGTTATAAAGCAGAGATGTACACCAAAGCTCATACAAAACCAGGAACTACAGAACTTCCCTACTGAGTAGTAGCAAATATCAAACTGCAAAACACATTTTCAAAGAGTAAGAGAATTCTCTTGCCTTGGGAGGTGCTCTCAAAAACACTGCATGAATGAAACAGTGGCAGCTCTGATGCTTCTGGGCACTTACAATAATGGCTTGTCCCATCCAGCCCAGGCTCCTAAACCACAGCTGCTGGGGATGCCAACAGTAACCTCACCTGCCATTACAGCATCACAGAACTACTCAGGCCTCTCTACAACTTTACAACAACTAAGAATAAGCATGCACTAGCACGTATGTGGAGGTGGATGGAGTTAGGAGTCTATGAGGAACAAAAAGGAGTTCTCTATCACAACCATTTTTGTTTCTTCAAACAGCAGCTAAACACAGGGCATTGTTTAAATCCTGTGAGCCTGGCTCACTGGTTCAACAACTGCTTTCTACAGCAGACATTTGTTTTGTGAAGTACCTTATGGATGAGGTTGGCGATGTCTTCATTTTGGATGATAATCAACAGTTTATCCAAATCAGCTCTTCTTTTAAGGAACTGTTCTGGATGGCACTCGGTGTTACCTAACTTTGTGAGATATTCCTAGCACCGCAGAAAGAGAAGGTTAGAAAAAGTGAACAGGTAGCTCAGCCAAAACCATCCCCATATGATGACCAAATCAACTAAGTTTTCCACTCAGGTCAGTCTTGGAGAAACTGCTTTTCTTGTCCTTCCCATACATTAGTCAGAAGGATGCAGCACACACAGATAGGCTGTTTCAGTAGTCAGTCGCTCTTTGCACATAAATGGCCAACTGTCAGTCTGCTGAAACAGCTCAAGTTTTCAACTAAAGCCAGAAGTTTTTATTACTTCACTTTCAATTTCAATCTTAACACATTTAAATACAGAAAAACAGAAACCTCCAAAAACTACCTGTACTAGTAACTGGACAGAAAGGGAAAAAAACCCAAAGCATCAATTTCTCATATATTCTTTCTAAAATGGTACCATCACATTTTTGCCCTTATCTTCCCCACACCACCCCCGCCCCACCTTAAGGCCACCCCCTGCCATTATCTTCAGAAAGAGCCAAACTACAGCCCTGTTCTGTTTTCTGACTCTAAGCAACAGACTTCCATAAAAACTTAATATAAGCAAGACTGCCTCAGAAGCTCAAAGAAGAAACGGGACAGGACAGCCTACTTTCACAATTCAACCTCTTCTGAAACAAGATTTAGACTACCACATGTTTGCAAGTCCAGCTTTATACACTGTGATTTACAACGCGCTCCAGACTATTTTAACATGAGGAGTTGAACTGGAACATACTTACCTTGATTTCTTTACAGAGAACACTTTCCTCCTCTTCATGAATATAAAATTTCACAGTGTTTTTCTGTACATCTTTAATAATTTTAACCAAACTGCTAAAAACTTCAGGTTTTAACTGGCTTATGAAATCAGAAAAGGCTGGTTGGGTTGAAATGTTGAAGTTGTCTGGGGATTTCTGTGTCTTTTCTGGCATCTCTGTCTGATCACCGCTGGAAGAGGTCTGCTCATCACATGTCACCATGTCCTCTGTTCTAGCGTTCACGTGATCTACTTCCTCCTTCACTACGGGCAAGCTTGATGCACGCTGCTCGCTAGAATCCCCATCTTCCACTGCGTTATTACACAACAGCTCTGGGAGCGCCGCTGTGTCAGAGTCCCTGCAAACGGGCACTGTGTTGGGCGGAGGGTTCAGTGCAGCGTTTCTGACCACTTCTGCTGGTTCAGGACTAGAACCAACCAGAGGGGTTTGCCTAATGCATGAAGATGACAAAATAACACTATGCAGCTTTTCATTCAGTGTCTCTACATATTCTTGGACAGAAACCTCCGATGCCTGTAAACAGATGTATTCGGAAAGTCTCATTATCCTCTCCTGGGCAGAGAAGACTGGTGTGGATATACCACTAACATAGCTGATATTCTTTTGCTGCAAAATTTCTTGAATCTTTCTTGCAAAGAGATTATATTCTTCTAACAGTGTATTCTCTATAACTGCACTAATGGAATGCTTAGTTGCAAAAGGGTGGTCTGCTAGCCCACACTGATCTTCCAGTTTCTCCACTTGTCTTGCATAAAGCTCATCTTCTGTTGTCCCCTTTTGTGTGTCTGAAAATGGAGAGTACGGAAACTGGTAATCAGAACTTCTCTGTCTATTTATTACCCGGGGGTCATTAGGAAAGGCATCCTTTGGCGGTAAATACACCAGTGGTTCTTCTGGTGATTTCAGACCTATATAGGAAGAGTTAATCATCACCATCTCATGTTTGAAAGTCATGCACAACTGATAACACTAAAACCTCCAAACCACAGTTTTAAAACTTAAATCCAGACCCAGGTGTTACTGTTAGCTGAGGTACCCAATCACAGCACATTTAATAGCTCCTAAGATGGTGAGACAATTAAGTCAAAGTTTGCTCAAAAAGCAGAACATGAACAATTATCCCAGAGACAAGATCTGATTATGCCTTCATTGCAAACAAACAAATCAGAAATCAAGCAGTGTGACAAATTATTCAAATCTTTTCATCTGGCACTAGGTTATAACCCTCAGACTTCCCAAGGGCTTACTGCAGCCACACACTGCCCCGGGGAGTCAGGCTGCAGTGTGTGGGCTGCACGTCTGATCTCACCACGGAGAGCAGAAGGGTCTGGCTAAAAAGGCAGGACTCCAGTCCCACGGTAGTTACTGCTACACTGAATAATACATTGCAAGGAGTGTTGAACACCCCGCATCATCCAAACCTCCAAACCCACATCTCACATCATGTCTGCAGCAGTCAGTTTTATCATCTGTATTCAAAACTATGGTTTTGCTTGGTTTTAAACCAAATTTAACACTTTGTTGCAAGTAACGACACATATATACCCAGGTATTTCAGATACATACAGGTATTTCAATACATATCTGTTCCATAAACACTTCAAAGAAGGTTTCCTTTGTTGATTTTGTTTGAGGGTTTTTGGGGGTTTCTATGTGTTGCATTAATATTCAGTAAATACAGCTGTAAGCAGAAAACCACATTTCTGGAACAGAAGCAATAACCAACATTGTATAGACAGTTTCTAGAAGTGTTCTTTTGGAAGGCAGCTGGGTTTGTAGCCAGTTAAAAAAGTTCTATTCACTTTCCTGTTTGATCACATCCACCCAGATCTAAAAGGAAAATGTCTGCTACTAACAGAATCCCTTTCTCAAGGTGACAGGATCGCCTCAAAATTACTTTATGCCACCAGTGTTATACAGAAACCAGAGATACGCTTCCATTTTGCCTTCCCTGTCAATGAAACCACACGTTCTTTCTCCATCCTTCATAGCACATCCTTTGAGTCAACTCAAATTTATAGTTTCCTTTAAAAGCACTATCACAGATACAAATCAGGTTATTCCAATTGGTTTCACCTGATTTTATCTGAACCTTTTTCTGTTGCCCTGTACCTTCAGCTTTGCTCTGCACCTTCTGCATACACAAGTATATCCATTTAAAAGACTGAAGAACTTGGTACCAAATTACAATGTTAACAGAATAAACTTAGTTTAAGCTCATTTCAGATATAAGGTACCTAAGAAATGTTTTGTATCTCATTCTTCTTGAGCTGCCCAACACTTGCAAGCTACATCACTACTGCAATCAAGAAATGCTGTACTTTCTATCTACATACTATATGCTTTCTATAGAAGCAAGTGTTAGTAAGAAGATTAAAAGCTATACTATGGCTTTAAATTTGGGGCTGTGTTTGTAACTTTTTACATTTTAATACAGCTAATCAGCCGAATATCAATTTTTAATCATGAAACATTGTTCTGTGGCTCTCCTCTCTGAACCCCCAATACAGCTGGAATTTCAAATCCAGAGGTTACTGAGAATTATCAATATCCCATCCACTCCTCCCGATGTGACGGCAAGTTTCTGTAACAATTATATTAGGGAAAACCTTTTCAGGATATATATGATTCAGAACTGATTAGCTTTACTCTTCACAGGTTATTATTTAAAGTTCTGCAGAAAGAAACAAGCTTTGTTTCAAAAACCAAAAGCCTTTGGTTTTACTACAGGGTTTTATTAAAAGCATTCAGCAGAATTTAACCAGAGGCATGCTGCTGAATATGGAATCCTAAATATTCCCTGACATGTAAACAAAAATGGATTTAAAAAAAAGGATGATGTAAACTAAAGTTACCCTTTTTAAATGAAATTCTCTGAAGGTGGCATCCTTCATGGGCCTAGACCTTTGGGTCACAAGCCTTCACAGAAACAAATGCATGAGCAGGGAGCAAAACCCAAATAAAGACACTTCAGCAACTATTTACGTATCTCCTGGAAGGCATGCAAAGGCACATGAAAAACAACATGGTGCTTGGTGACAGCCAGCATGGCTTCACCAAGGGGAAATCCTGCCTGACCAATTTGGTGGACTTCTATGATAGGGCTACAGAACTGATGGACAGGGGTAGAGCAGCTGATGTCATCTACCTGGACTTGTGCAAAGCATTCGACACTGTCCCACACAACATCCCTGTCTCTAAACTGGAGAGACATCAATTTGATAGGTGGACTACTCAGTGGATAAAGAACTGGCTGGATGGCTGCATCCAAAGAGTTGTGGTCAATGGCTCAATGTCCAGCTGGAGACCAGTAATGAGTGGTGTCCCTCAGGGATCGGTGCTGGGACCGGTCTTGTTCAACATCTTCATCACTGACATGGACAGTGGGATTGAGCGCGCCTTCAGCAAGTTTGCTGATGACACCAAGCTGTGTGGTTCAGTTGATACGCTGGAGGGAAGGAATGCCATCCAGAGGGACCTTGACACGCTTGTGAGCTGGGCTGATGCCAACCTCATGAAGTTTAACCATGGCAAGTGCAAGGTCCTACACCTGGGTCGGAGCAATCCCAGGCACAGCTACAGGTTGGGCAGAGAAGAGATTCAGAGCAGCCCTGAGGAGAAGGACTTGGGGGTGCTGGTCGATGAGAAAATGAACACGAGCCAGCTTCAGTGTGCGCTCACAGCCCAGAAAGCCAACCGTATCCTGGGCTGCATCAAAAGGAGCGTGACCAGCAGGTCGAAGGAGGTGATCTTGCCCCTCTGCGCTGCTCTCATGAGACCTCACCTGGAGTACTGTGTGCAGTTCTGGTGTCCTCAACACAAAAAGGACATGGAACTGTTGGAACAAGTCCAGAGGAGGCCACGAGGATGATCAGGGGACTGGAGCACCTCCCATATGAAGAAAGTTGGGGCTGCTCAGTCTGGAGGAGAGAAGGCTGCGTGGAGACCTCACAGAAGCCTTCCAGTACCTGAAGGGGGCCTATAGGGATGCTGGGGAGGGACTCTTCATTAGGGACTGTAGTGACATGACAAGGGGTAACGGGTTAAAACTTAAACAGGGGAAGTTTAGATTGGATATAAGGAAGAAGTTCTTTACTGTAAGGGTGGTGAGGCACTGGAATGGGTTGCCCAGGGAAGCTGTGAATGCTCCATCCCTGGCAGTGTTCAAGGCCAGGTTGAACAGAGCCTTGGGTGAGATGGTTTAGTGTGAGGTGTCACTGCCCATGGCAGGGGGGTTGGAACTTGATAAGGTCCTTCCTTTCCAACCCTAACTATTCTATGATTCTACAATTTATGATTTCAAATATACTTTTTTTTTCCTCATAACATTTGTAGTCTCCCAGTTGCCTGTGCAATCTGTCAGTCAACTGACAAACCCTTGCATGAACTCCCACATCGAGCATCTACGATATCTTGTTTTTTAGACGCTTAATCATCCAGTTAACTAGTTATCTCAGCAACCATATCCATGTGTATGCTCCTCCAGGAATAAAAGAAACAATGTTCCACCCTAACAACTTCACAGCCTCCATACTCTAACTCTGCAAAATATCAGAACAGATTTCTGATGTTTGGCTCTGAGAAGTATAGAAAATATCATCCAGAATCACCCCATAATGTCATTAAAAGGCCTAAGAGCACTGTGAGGGGAAACCTGCTTTCCTAGCCCTCCTCCCTCCTCAGCCAAACAAGCAAAAGAGAGCTGCTGAGCTACACAACTGGATGGAAGAAAGAGATGTCCAAGAGACAGATTCCAGCATTCCTGGAATATGATCAGAAATCAGTCAGTTTGTACTCAGGAGAATGCAGTTAAAATTCTACTTTGATTTAGTCATACGATGACTTGATTTGTAGCCTTGAATTTAGAGCACTTGATGACTATTCCTACAGCCCAGTTTTCACATGCTTCAAATTCATTCTGTTATGCTCTCCCAAGACTTGACACTGTTGACTCATCAAGAAGTAGAACAAGATGCTTCTTCCACATAATTCCTTAAGATTTAAATATTTAGGCCAGACAAAGACTTGGAAGCACTTCCAGCAGAAGAGCCTGATGCAGTAATAAGTGGACTACTTTCTGTGAGAACACATTTTTCATTACTTTTCTGGATTAGAAGCTGCAGTTATCTGCCTATCCAATCTGTCAGCAGAACCTAGCAAGTTCAAGCACTGAATTCAAAACAGTTAATGTGCTTCACCAGACAAATACTCAAATATTCACATTTCTACACTATGTCAGTATGCACCCAAAGCAATACTCTCCACCAGTACCTGTTTTCATCCAGTGGATTTCTGCATTAAATAAATATCAGAAATAACTGCATAGTACATACACTTGCGTACCAACATGTAATCCAAGAATGGGATCTATGAAAAGTACAAACGTTTAGAGCAAGTTTTCTCTCACTATTTGTAGCAACAGAAGAGTTAAACCCATCTTACCTGTAATTGGAATAAGTTTCCAGTGCATTCCAACTTCTACGTTATTTGAGTTGGAACGCTGGCTGGGATGAACATGCTCCATAGGTGTAGCAGTACAGGGACTGCAGTCTTCATAACTACTCACACTTCCAGTGCTTGTTTCCTAAAAAACAACAGAAATTCCCAGCTGAAAGCTCTTTCTCCTTTGGTAGCTGTTAAGCTTTTACATTCTCAACAGCTGACAGCAAGAACACACTTAAGTTCACCAGATACTGGCAATCTTGCCATCAATCAGGTCAAACTTGGAGATGTTTGCATGTGGTATTTATAGATTTCATTCACCTGTTTGGCAGTATCTGAGACAGATGTCTTTGCTGATGGTGTATCATTAAGTAAACAACACAGTCCTGACCACCTGCCTTAGAGCAGAGGGGCTGGGTGGGGCAGGGAAAACAGGAGGCAAATAGGGGAAAAAAAATAGGAACTCTCTGTTCCTTTGCCTTTTTCAGGCTCTTATCTCAAAAGCTGACTAAAGCCATGAGATGTTGGCATTACTGAGGAATTGCCCGCAACTGGTATTAAGTACTTGAACAACCCTATTTCATTTCACATTCCAGATGGTTAGAAGCAAAACAGCACACAGAGTACAGGGTAGGACAAACCCTTTCATGACTTGGAAACTCGGCTTTGTTTCTAAGTATTAATAATAGAGATCATAGAACAACCACCCTACAGAGTATGGTGATCGAGCAAGCAGCTGGGGCATTCTGAATCCTAAGGACAAGAGCCTTCTTCAAAGGGTGTTCTGCCAGTTACATGCTGTCATGCAAAGCATGACATGTATGTGGAACACATATACACCAAGAGGGCAGAGAGAGAGCAAGGCATGCATTTAAATGCTCAGAACCTTTGTCCAAAACAAAATAAAGCCAATTCCCCAACCACCTTAAACATCCACAGAGCAGTTCAAATCTTCCACTACGCACATTCCTTAACACTTTCTCACTCAGACACTGCTGATACGGATATATAAGGTATCATATCCAAACCACCATCTCTGAGGTTTTCTTAGTTTTATCACAGCAAAAGTAGACATAAGGAACCAGGAACACGTCTATTGTTTAGAGTATTTCCATATATGCTCCTACAAAACAAAAAAGCTTCTTCATGAAAATATTATTCATATTTCCATCTACCTACACGGCAGCTGCACTTACTTTTAAAGGTAGTGTCTGTTCAAGGCCTACTTCATTAGCTGAAAGGTGTAGATCCACATCAACAGGGTAGGGTAAGCATGCCACATCAGTTTCCAGTATCCCTGGGCTCTGTGGGTCCTTAAAGTGAAGATTTTCAGCCTGAGCAGTATTATGAAGCTCATGATCATCTCTGTCCTGTGCTGGAATGGATTCGTACTCATATTTTTGTCTCATATCCTCTTCATCACTGCTTAGTCCTAAAGTTTGATTTACAGACCGTGCCAATGATGAATCCAAGTGTCCTGCACTGGACAGTGTTTCTAAAAGCAGTTTAATGAGGCCGTGTGGGTCAGCAACAGCAGGGTCGGGTACATCTTGCTGCCTCAAGTCAGGATCATGTCCAATTGAGAAAACAGCATGTGGCGAGTCCAAGGTTGTTCTGCCCCCTTAGAACAGGGAAAAGAAGGGAAGAGTAATCCATTATTAACCTTTCCAAGAAAAGCAAACCCAGATTTCCATCCCCCAACACCAGCCACATACCCACAGTCTTACTACTCAGCATCAGTTCATGTACTACACAGGCATCTATTTTCTTATCAAAAAATTTTGAACAGGTAGATGCTGATAAAAAAAGCAGTTTCTAAAGCTAACAGCCTCTCCCAGGTAAATAATGGGAGGGGTAAGTTAGGTCACTCAATAACACACTATTTTATGCCTTCATAGAAGTCACATACCATGATCTATGTATTTTATGGACACCCTCTAAAAATCTCCATTGCTTGTTGAAAGAAAAAGGTTAGTTTGTGTAAAATACTTGCTTTTCTCCATGCTATCACTGTTGTTCCAAAAGCTGATGAGTATCTTAACATGTAACCTCGGAAGTTATCTTAGACTAAGCACAATTCTAAAACACCCTCACACCTACTTATATGAAACATAATTTCAGAACAGGGCTGTTCTTATCCTCATACCCTTGGATAAGTAAATACCACAGGTATTTATTCTTCTTGGGAAGAGACAGGCCAAGGAAATCCTTGTAGTATACAAGTACCTGATGAACCCCTAACTCATTTATCACATGTGGAAATATGGAATAGCTTAAGAGCTGTTTGACTAATAAAAATCTAGTCATGTTTAGATACTTAAGATCAGATTATTTTACATAAGATCTTTTTGCAAGACAAATAAATTCCTTATAGTGTTCTACAAACATGGAATTTAAACCATAGATAGTTGTTGCAGGTTTGGAGCCTCTAAAGGAGTTAAGTAAAAACTCAGTTTTAAACACTGTTCTGATTACAGCCAGGTAGAAATGCATTCACATATTTTACATTAAGCATCAATGTAAAAAGCCCTGAAGGTTCACAGACTTCCAAGCAGGAGGAATCCCAAGATCTAGCACGTAGCCTACCCTCTTCCATCCACACATGCCAGTTATCTTTTGTCCCTCTCAAAAGGGAAACTTATTCCTAAGATCAGCCACTTCACCTTCCAAAGTGATTCACATAAACAAGAATAACCAGTGCAAATTCCACCATTTTGGACCACTCTTCTCCCCCAGGTTTCCTTCTTCTGAAGGAGGCCTGGCTCACTGCCTTGGGAAAAGGGAAACAAATCAAAGATTTGGGCTTTTTTTTTTTTTTTTCCACGAGTATCAGGTGATATCTGTGATAATTATCTGAGACTCAGATGGAGATGATTTCAGATACACAGCAACTCAATCCTATCAGGTTGTCTTTTCAGTCCCACTACACACATTACTGGCTATTTCAAAATGCAGCTGTGCTCATGCTGAGAAGCTTCATTCTCCCCTTCAATCTAAATTTAACAGGATTACAGCAATGCCTAAAGTCAAACTCTGCAAAAGACATCATGATATAAAGTCTGCTTAGTAGTCTATAGGAGAAAGCACAGTTCCACAGCTAAGCAAGCTCTGGAAGTCTGCCCTCTTTCCAAAGAGGCAGAACAAAAGCAGCTTCCTTGACAACTGTTAACTTGTCTCCTACAAAGAGGAAACCTACATAAAAACCAACTTGATCTCTATTGACAGATCCCAGGTCAATGTTTAAGTGAACCACCATATGCTAAAATATACACAGTATGTAAAGAACATTCAACCTATACAGATAATTAAATATGCTTTAAATTGCAATGTTTGAAGAGGAACTCCTAACACTGACTTACCTTCATACTGACAAGTATTCTCTGCCGATTCACACATTTTTAAGTATTTCCTCAAGTTTCCAGACTGTTTTTCCAGCTTCCTTTTCAGACTGCTTCTACTTCTAGGGTCTTCAGAATCAGAATCTCCACTTGTGTTTTTTTTCCTGCTCTGGATTAAGTTAATAAGTTCTTTGAGTCTATCAGGATCATAATCTCCAAACTGAGACAGTTTTCTCCTGGCTTCATACTTTGCACGGATTCTTTTCCTTATTCTTGCATTGGCAAAATCAGAGTCTTCTGCGACTTCATAATCTGAGATGGGACTGAACTGCTGATATTTCTGATTTCCTCCCATCAGTTCCATAGCTCTAGAAACAGGTAGCTGATATGCCTCACAACCAAAAATATAGTTTTGCAAGGAACTGTCAATATGAGATTTATTTCTTGGAGCAGAATAAAGAAATTTTTTTTCATCCAGCCGTGATTCATACCGATACAATATAAATTCTCTATATTTTCCAGACATACTACAGCCTCTTTTCAAATACTCATGTATATACTTTTCCACAACAGCATTGAAATCTGCAGTAGTGTCTTTACGAGACTGGATTAAAGCAAAATGTAGAGACTGAATAAACTTTGTGAATTCTGGGAAGATTTCCTGATTTTCGTGCATCGTAGCTGAATTTTTCTGTGTTCCAAATGGAACACTTCTTTGTGCTGCCATAGGAGAAAAGGGAATTCACAATTAAAATCAAAATATAAAGTTATAAATAAATTATGACTAGTCAGCAATATTTTGTATTATACATACTTGGTGAAAGACAGTTTGGAATGACTGTGGAGAAATAGCCCAAAAGCCAGAATAATTTTTTTGGAGCAAAGGTAACCATCTATAAAGCCTAATTAAAAGTCAGCCTACAGATAGTAATTTTCATAATTCTGTGGTAACCTATATCATAGATACACATATCATTGTGAATATAAACCACTCCAGTGGTTTAGTAAGCCACTTCAAAGGCTTACTAAGGTTTACTATGAAGCAACCTAACAGCCTCCTGCAAGAAACAAGGGGAAGTATTACTCCTTCCCATGCAGTCCTGATGCATTCATGCTATTTCTAAGCTCACTGGACCCTTCCTTACAAAATGATTCAGCTTAGTAACCCAGCAGAAACCTACACAGCTTTTTCCATTCCTTTCCAAAGCAATACAACTCACTAAATCAAAGAGATGCAATTGGAGCAATCTGACCCTCCTTGCAATCACAGACTGAAACTTTTCTTCATTCAGCCACTGAAGCACCCTGAAGACTCAAACCAGTGATTAACCTTGTGTGAAATGTCATCTTGTATCATATTCCCTTCTACCCAATCTAACATGGATTGAATTAACCCAATTGTTAATTGATCAAGAAAAACATAAGGGGTTATTAAAATCAGAAATAGAGACATAAGAACCTAAGAAGCTGTCAGGATGTCGGACAAGAACTATTTGTAAAAGTGAAAAACCTGTGAAGAGCTATGTCTTGATAATATCACTTCTAACTCACAGCAGTCCAAGAAGACTAGTAGCAATTATTGCAAATTTCAACTGTAAAAGATTAAAGTTTGATCCCAAAACCAAGTTCCTGTAGTTATCTGTGATTACTTCGTTGTATCATTATGTTCTTTGTTCTTTTACACAGGTTTTGGTGCATAGCCCAATAAAAATAAACAAACAAACAAAAAACCCACAAAAAAACAAACAGGTACACTCAATGAAGACTTAGATGTTCTGACATTAAAGAAAGCCCTCTCTTAAGTGCAATGCCACTGATGCTCAGTTCTACTAGAATATACAGTCAAGACACTGGAACAAAGTTTTGCTTTCTCAAACATGAACAAAAAGAACCTAAAATATGTTATTTAATAATTGCTTTCATGAATAAACGCTTTTTGAACACCATCACCATGACCATAACCAATGCAAACTGTAACTCCTAGTTTAGGCTGACAGGGTATAACACTACAGGGTCTTCAACACAATCTAAACTACATTTAAATAAGTGTGTACACACCACTCTTAGCAGTGAACAAACTTACCTTGGTTCACTATACCTCTAGGTTCTGGGAACAGAAACAATGCATGCAGCATGCGAGGCCGTCCAGTTTGATAGTCTAGAAGGCAAGAAATAAGACCAGTTGAGAGGACCACTGCTGTGCTTAAAAATCCGGTACTCAAAAACCCACTAAAAGAAATAACCAAAACCAACTCAAAACCAAAAAACCCCCAGATATGCATACCATAAGGGGATATCATTTGCCAAGGAGAAAGAAGAAAAAGGAATCCTCTGTCCAGAAGTGGTTTCACAAGAACCTGTTTTCAACCAAAAAGAGGATATGGTATCAAGCACAAATACATGTTCACTACTAATACTCCTACTGTTTACTAATGGTAAGCTAAATTTCATCACGGGCACAGAAGTGCCCAAGAATATGCCAGCTAAGGAATTCCATTAAGATCATGGATCTTGTAATGCACCTTAATTAAGAGTTAGCAAAATTATTTTTTAAAACAGGAACAGTAAAATCTGTTGCACTCACAAGTTTCTCTTTCTCTAGTTTGTGAAGTAAGCTCTCAAAGTGACTACCAGAACGGGACTTTTCCACAACTTCGTACAGGCTACAGTACATGCCATTCTTCAACACTGACACGATACAAAGGTAGAGAGAGAAGGTAAGAAAAAAAAACATCAAACAATACTGTAACTCAGAAAACTTTAAAATTCCAAATTTAAAAAAATTAAGCTGGAATTACCTTCTCTTGCTCCTACATAAGTTTCTTTGTACAACAGCGCTGGTGAGATCTTTTTCTTCAGTTGATCAATGCTCACAACTTTTTCAACCTCCAGTTTCTCTGGACTGGAGAGGAAGGGGGGGGGGCAGAAGGACGTAAAAAAAAGATAAAGATCTCTTTACACCCCCCCCCCACACTCCTACTGTCATTGATCAAGTAAGAACTATTCAATATATACTCTTAAAAATCAGTTCCTTGGACTATCCCATGAGCCAGTGGAGTTCACTCCTGCAAAAGGGGCGGGGGGGGGGGGTGTCATTTCAAAGGAAAAACCAACCACCAAACAAAAAATTGGTGCTGACAGTATTGTGTGCATGCACTAAAAGCAGCTCTGGATACACACTACTCAAGAGTCTAGTCTGGCATACTTAAAGTGTCTAATCAGTGTGTATTTTAGATTTTCACCTGAATACATCCCAAATTCACCAGTCCCTACTAAAAAGAGTTTTAACAAACCAATATTCTAAACGTGCTGTTGAAATGGAAATACTCACAGTTTGCATGGAAGGAAAGGACGTGCTGCTGATTTCAAGGAAATGTGGCACAAAAGTTTGCCTTTATTCCAAAGCTGTCCCCTCCATAATGTATAGTTGTATTTATCTAAATTAAGATAGAGAAAGGAAGATTACGTGAAACACTTTCAGATTATCTTAAATTTTACTGACTCTTTCTGTATTTTGTGTTGGTTTGTGAAGCAGCTATAGGAACATCTTGATTTCGGAAGTTTAGCCATAATGTTAGCATGGGTTGCTGTGCTACTTGAAATCTGATGCTGTGTTGCATGAAGTCCCTGTTCTCTGTAACATGTTAGCCTTAGTCCTTACTCTCTAGAGCATAATCAGAGTGCCTAGGCTCTATTGTATATAGGGTGAGTTATGTGACAACCTGGCAAGGTAGATATCTAGCGGGCCAGCTTGCAACAATGTAAGATTAGGGTGTCCTTTAGTTGAACTGTCCTCATTATATTCTCATTATACCACTAAAAACCACCCAGGTGAAGACCCTTCCTTCACGCAAATCACTAACCAATCATTGAAACTGGGAGTACACTACCTTGTAATTTGTGTGTATAAACGTAACAAGGAAATGGGCATGGGGTGTGCCTGATTTGTGGGGACTCCACCTAGCACCCAGGGCTAGTAGTAAAGAAGTGCCTGCTTCTTAGTGCTACATTAGCATTAAGGAGTTTTACTCTCCTGACTTCTGGTGACAAAATCACGTGTGGGACTGAAAGGAAATGGCAATAAAAAGGCAGTGAATCTCCAAAAGCAGTATAGAGAAAATTAAGTACTAACACCAGAGCAGATGACAGTATGTTAAATAGTAAGCTAAAAGGTAACAGTATTTACAATCCTGGTAACAGTATTTACAATCCTATCTTGTTTTAACCTGCTATGAGCAGATTAAAGGAGGTTACTATGTCACCGGTACCTATCTATATAAGCACATCCGTGATGCCAACATCTGTGGAACAGTATCCTTTGTCCTTAACTGTCAACCATTTTCAAACATTAATATTTTACCGGAATGAGGTTCAAAAGAAAAGCAGGGCAGAGGATGATAATAATTTAAATGCCACTGAGCAGGAGATTAAGCAGCAGAATTTAGGTTCTTACTTCACTATAATTAGAAAAGGAAGGGGAAGGAAAGACTTGATTTGGTTTAGTTTTGGTTTGTTCTGGTAAATGAAGATGTACATTAAGGTATCTGATCACCCAGTATCATTAAAACTCAGGTACATAGTCAGCATAACTAAGTCGGTTAAAGACAAATAAAACTACATGGGGAAAAAAGCCTATAACCTTCCATAATCACCACCATAAAAGCAGTAAATTTCAATTTATTCTTACCTGTTATTCTATCTGCGTTGAAGCTGTTTGATCTATCAAAAAGAAAAAAAAAAGGCAGAATGACTAGGTTGAAGCAGAAACTTCTGGCTACTGAATTTGACATTAAGGATACTTCATCAGTCTCACAACAAAGCAACACTGATAATTTGCCCTCTAACCTCAAGCTATCAGGCATTTTGATCACTATTTTTTAGCACTACATGGTACAGTCCCCACATCTTGATGCCTTCCTATCAGCATAGCTTTCGTATTGTATCTGTAACCAATTGCTCACTTCAATATTCTCTCCACAAGCAGGAAGACACCACCACAGTGACAAAGTACACAGAAAATACTTTTGGAATACTGTTGTGGTTCGAGCCCAGCCTGCAACCCAGAATCACGCAGCTGCTCACTCATTCCCCCCTTTCTTCCTCCCACTGCTCCAGGAGGGATGGGGAGGAGAATCGAAAGAATGTAACTCCCATGAGCTGAAAAACAATTTAGTAACTAAGGTATAACACAAAACCACTACTGCTGCCACCAACAGTAATAATGATAAGGGAAATATCAAGGGGAGAGAATACAACCGCTCACCACCCGCCAACCGATACCCAGTACAACCCGAGCAGCGATCTAGCCCTTCAGGTTAACTCCCCCCAGTTTCTACACTGTGCATAACATGCTGTGGTATGGAATACCCTTTTGGTTAGTTTGGGTCAGGTGTTCTGTCTCTGCTTCCTCCCGGCTTCTCCTCCTCCCTGGCAGAGCATGAGACTGAGAAAGTCCTTAATCAAAGTAACAATGCTCAGCCACAACTAAAACCACTGGTGTGTCATCAGTGTTGTTCTCAGGCTAAAGTTGAAAATACAGCACTGCACCAGCTACTAAGAAGGAAAAAATTGATTGCTACTGCTGAACCTAGGACAAATACCAAACAAAATAATGCTGTGAACATTTTTAGGCCTGAATTTCCTCAGTTAACAAAAAACAAAAACAAAAAAATCCCCAAACTACAACAAAAAAAAAACAAAACCCCAACCCACTGTACATGGGTTCCATCTAGGCAGAGGGTGTGTAGGTGAAGAGAGCAGCAGAACTGCTTCCTACAGGGGCCAGCTTACTGCATGAAACCAATTCTGTCACCTCTTGCTTTGCATTAGAAATATTTATTATTCTAAGTCCCTGTAGCATGTCCATTCATATTCACCTAAATCACTTGTAAGCTACTGCCAAGAGCTATAAATCCTTCATGCTGCATGCAGCCTTTCCAAAACTCACTTTCTAGCTTACCTTGGTGGAGGAAAGTGTTTTGGTAATGGCACCATTTCATCTTTGTAAGTAAATGACACGACAGCATAAGGACATACATGTCTTGGTCTTCTCCTGATTTCATCAAAGCCATATTCATAAAAATAGTACTAAAAAAGAAGTGACACAATGTTTATTACAAGTCTGGTAACCTGTATTTTGTAAATACACTAAAATCCATGACCTTTCTTCATTGAAAGGTGTACTCTGATTCACAGAAGAGCTTACAAAATATACCTCATGATTCATTGTTTAAACAAAGAAAAGAAGTTTGTTTGGAACTCATTATGCCATACATTAACTGGTATACAAACCAAGTTGTAAGCTACTATAATAAATCACATCTATGTTTGTTTTACCAATGGCCTATTTCTTCAAAAGGTGGTATTTTAAAAAAGCTTCTAAAGGTCCTTCTCATATGTACTTTGTTATACAATCAATTAAGGTCTATTTCCACCTGCTCCTCCATCCTCTACCAAACACTGACAGAATGGACAGTAGTTCAGGAGCTAATCAAGAGTGAAATAGTAATTTTGCAACAATTATTTGAAAGTATATTTTTGATGAGGTATGGGACAAATAACAAAAGAAATCACTGAGGAAAGTATTTCTACGAGTTTTGGAGTCTATCCTTAGTGCAGTCACAAAACTCTGATGTTAGAGAAAAATGTTAGTTCAGGCAAGTTTGTAGTGAGAAATGAAAACATATATTCATCTGCCAGCCACCTGACTCAGTGCCCAGCTCTGACTTACAGAAGTCAAAAGAAGCTGCAATACTAAATAGGACACTTTCAAGTTAAGTATCCTGAAAACTATGGACTTGACAGAATAATCCAACGGCAACAGATTACTGCAGTGAACAGCTGGAGGAACAGAAATGCCTGGAACTGATCCCATTTTGTCCTCCCTTCCCCATCTCCAAACCTAAGAATGTGGTATGGGAAAAAAAAAAAAAAAAAAAAAAAAAAAAAAAAGGAAAAAAAGGAAAAAAAAGGAGGGGGTGGGGGAAGGGGTAGAAGGGATGAAAGGAAAGAAAAAATAAGAAAAATGCTGTTCTTTCCTAGCCAGTTTTACACTTAAACTAAACTCCTCGTTCTCTCCTCCCCGGCCAACATCCCAGTCCCCATATATGTTCCCTAGCTATCTCGTACTCCACCTACATCCTGATTTGAAGGAGCTCTCCATCAGGTCCAGGTACATATATATACACACACATATACATATATATATATATAAGGGAAACAGGAGAGACTGACATGTTCTTAATTTCTACTACAGACATGTCTGTGTTACTGCTAAACATACACCAGACTGCAGCGTTACAGGGCATGGTCAGTGTTTGTTACATCTTCAGTGATTTTATCTCCATCCTGTTGTAACTGTTTATCAAGTCTTAGATAATAAATTAACACATGCACAGCTTTCTTTCACCTGTGTGAGTTCGTAGGCTCGATAAGCCAACAAAGAGGTCACTTTATTTGCATTCTTTGAAACATGACACTCATGCTTTGGTGTTGGATCCAATGCACTCTTTACTGTTGATTCCATTGCTTTCATACCGATGTGGTCATATATGCTTTTCATTTTTCCCTGTAACAAAGCAGAAAATTTGTAAGCATAAGCTTTTTCCTGAAAACTGGCAAAATGCTTCAAGTACTAAAGTAAGTAAGACCACGGAAATGAAAACAGGCCATTAAAAAAGCAACTTATTTAAGTACATTATTTTCATAGAAAACACACAATTTTCACCTTCTATTAAAAAATATGACTTTTTTAAAGCTCAATGTCAATAGATTTTAAGCCTGTAAGGGTTCTAGTTTCTCTACAACCAGCTAACTGTGTAAATGGAAGCTGAGTAAGTTAGGTTTAAATCACCTTTATTTTATCATTGAGCAACAGAATCCTTCAAGAATAAGCAAGGTAAATTTACCTTTATTATTTTAAAAACAATCACATCTCCAGTTGTTCCAGCTTCCAGAGGATTAGGCTGCAATAAATCAGCATACCTGGAGATATATACACCTGAAATATAAAAAAACCTCAACATATTATGGTGAATATAAAAATCATTACAAGTTCAACATATAGCAAACAATAAAGATACAATAATTTTTCTGGAGCAAGATCAGTGAAAGGTTGAAAGGTTGCAGCTTCAAGACAGCAGAGTAAATGTTTACTGGCACAAACACCAGTATGAAACACTGCAGCAGAATATGGACACCAGCTCAGTTTAAAAGGAGCACACCCACACTGTTATTAGTGTTGTGTCTAAGAGGCCAAGCCCTGCCCAAAGGCTCTAGATACTGTTTTCAGGTGGGGCTTTTTTAAAGAGCTAATGTTCCATACAATGCCCCACTGCAGAAAGTGGAGATAAGCACCAAAGATAAGATAGTGAAATAGGGCAAGAAAACACTGGCATCTTCAGCAATCTTTCATCCTACACTTGACAAAAATAGTTTTGGAATCGTAAACTGACACTCAAATGGAAAGGTAAAATAATTTATTGGTTTTCAACACTTCTGCCATAATTTCGTAGATCTTTTTAAGGCCTCAGACACATCTGTTGCTCTAGTGACTACCTCAGATCAAGTAACTGCAACTGAACTGAGTTACTCAGAAAAGCATCCATTTTTGCTTAGGTTCCTCTCATTCCAAGTCTGTATTTAACTGCTTTTATAAATTGCTCCTGAACCTTTACTGACTAAGGTAGTAAAAAAGTATACACTCATGTATCTTTGCTCTCCTCACCTTGCATCTATCCTGCTTTCAACATTCATACTGTCACCTCTGTAGCATGTTTCTATTTTAAAAGCTTTGCAAAACAGGAATTTTGCATCCTGCACTTTCAAATTTTTTAACTGTGACTCTTTCAGGTCTCCAGTTCATCTATGCTCTTCTTGGACTTTAGGATCCAAGAACTTTAGCTGTATCTACATCAATACTAAGCTGAGCTGCAATTGCCATAAAGAATTTCTGAATAGATGCACATACATAGGTACAAACACAGGAGCACACAGACTTAGACTGCATTAGTTCCTTGGCCTCCCTACTTTACAGGGAAGACACAATATACTGGTTCAAGTTAAGCCAAAATGAGAATTAGGTCTTCCCTGCAGGAAAGGTATTAAATAAACTAGTTAAAACCAGAGTTATGAAATAATGTCCTGATGTCAATCTACTCTGCTAAGAACAGTTAAGCTGTGATGATCCTGCACTAAGTGACAGAAAAACGACAGTTTACACAACTGCATCACATTATCTGCCAACTCACACTGAACAATACCAGCACATATAATCAAAAGATAGTTACCCATGGAAGGACTGCCGAGAATTGTTATTTTGGAGTGGCCCACCTGCAACCCCTTTTCACATATGCTTTGGATCTGAAGAGAACAGACATTTTTATTTAAGCAATTCTATCTGAAAAGCCAGAATATGAACAGAACGGTGAGAAATGACAATTACACAATTTTAAACGAAATTCAAAAACTAAATCAAACCCCTAAAACCCTCACAAACAAAACCCAGACTGAACTGCAATATAAACTATTAAACTCTAGAAGTGAAATGCTCAATATAAAGCAATTACACAGATTCACCTGTAACTTAGGAACAGCCTCCCTATACCTTAAACACACTTTATGAACGTTACCTGTTTTTAATACACAAAGCAGAAGGAAACCTGGCAAACGATTTAATACTTAGGAAGTCCCGGCTCTGTAATAGCAGAAAAACAACAAGAACTCCCTGTCCATCACTGCTATTAAAGATGTATAACCAAAGAAGAGACAGAGACAGTAAGGTCCATTTTCTAGTATTACATGTTACCTTCTCCTTAGGGTAACCTCTTCTTGATGCAGAAAAAAATCAACCAACCCAAAACAATCAGGAACCCCCAAAAAATCTACACCGCCAAAACTCCACTGCAATGAAAACATACAACACTCCTTTTCAATTAAAAAATAAACACAAACCCCCTAGAAACCAACATGCCATCCAGAAATCTCCTTTAAGTTATGAAGCAGAGCCTAAAACAGAGAAGATACTTTACAGAAACAGGCACATGGAGCACCTCTAATAGCAGAGAATAAAGGACTTAAAAGGTGACATATCATCTCTTTCCAATGTTGCAAAAAAAAAACTTAGTGATTGTGTCAATAAAAACATTCAATTTAAAAAACAAAACCAAGCTTCTAACTGAAAAACAAGAGAAAGAATTTTGGACAGAAGTTTTTTCTTACCTGAGGTCGATCAACCATCAGAAAGGCATAGGTTTCAGAAAGTTCTTTTTCTGGGCGACCATCAAATTTCAGTTCTCTGCGTTTTTCTGTGTACTATTAAGCAGAAAGTTATTAACCCATAAGAAAAATTACTTGATATCACATTCAAATATCAATGTTCTAAAGCCCCATCTATGTTAGCAGATCCAAGTGTACAAAAATAATCAGAAGAACAAGTTAAATGAGACTATAGTATGCTAAAATTCTATTTCATACCCATTGCACCATAGAAAAAATGTCATTGGCTTCATCTCCCCAGAGATTTAAGGAAGAGACACTCCTCAAACAATCCTGCACAGTAATGTTTTATTGTTATCTTTGTAGCATAACTAGCTACAAACATCCAGCTCAATGCCTTCCCTATCATCTTTGAAATAAGCCTTTTTCTCTTATTAGAAGCAGATCATTATATTTCAGGTTCCACATGTACTTTTGCAGTTGCACCTCACTGCTACTCAGGTGGTTTTCCTCAGTTGCAACACTCGTTAGTTGTAACTGTGTTACAGTAACGAATAAAAACAAATACACATCAGAGCTTACTGTACAGTTTCAAGATAATAATTACAGCAAACCAATTACATATTCTATTACAATATACGTGAAGCTTGTTGGCACTGGGACTGAAACCTTATTTCTCAGCCTGGATTTAAGAGACGCTGTATAAGGTACAGCAGAACTGTTTTAACCAAGCTGCTCAACTTACTAGTTCAACTGATCACCTCTTTCAGGTGGTACTTCTTAGAAAACAACAGTACAGAGACTGTGTGAACTTAGCGGCAGAAAACAATTTTCATCTTAAGTTTCACAGGGAGCATCAGGCCTTTCAGACAAGGCACTGTAACATCTTTCCAGGTTATTAAAAATGCATAAAATTTAAGAAAATGTTTGAAAACTTAAAATGCACAGAGATGAGCAATGCCAAATACAAATATTTTTTTTAGTCTTTTTGAGTATCCGTCAGGCAAGATATTTTATCTATGCACTAACAAACTTGCCTGAAAAATAGCCGTTTACACTTTTGAGGATGTCAGTTTGCAATCATGAAGCCCATGAGTACAAAATAATCTCTAGATATTTGCCTCTGGAATCAGAAAGGCCATTAAATTTCATTTGACTTGTACCTTATTCATAAACAGAAGCCATAAATATACTCACTTCCTTTTCCAACAGTTCACTGTGAACTAAGCTGGCTCTCTTGTAACTAAAATTGGACACTGAACTTGGTTCCAAGTAAGATGAATGCAGAATCTTTACAATATCCTCAAATTCTCGAGATCCTACAGCCACTGGCTGGAAGAGTGCTATAAAAGAGAAGAAGACAAAATTTATTTGTATTTAGAATTTAGAATTTAGAATACAAAATGCCTGAAGTATTTGAGAAAGATGGAATTCGGGGGTAGAAAGTTTAACTTGAAGTTGCCTGGAATTATAGCAGCTTCAAAAAAATGAAAGAAAACAAACCACATTTCCTTAGGAGTTGTTACTCTTCAACAGCTGGTTCTCAGCAGCTTAGAAGGGAAGCACCTCAAGTCTGAATTTACCCTTTGAAAACATCTGATACATATCACAAAACACTGTAATTAAACTTTTATAACTTTAATTAAACTAATTAGCTCTTAATTAAGAACTACAAATTCATCTATATAAAAACCTTAACAACAGATTCATAGCTCTGACTCTCTTTAGAGCCCTTGCGAGGCTTTTTGTTTGTTTGCTTATCATAATAAAGCTAAATATGTATAAATTCAACACTGTCTGAAGAAGTCCAATTAGCTCCTGGTACTAAAAACACACTGCCTGTGTTCATGCTTTATCATCTTACCCTCTAATGAGAACTGCTTTAGAAGGACAGCCTTTCATTTCCTGTTGTAGAAATACACCTTCCAGGCAAACCTTTGCATGAAAGTTTGCACAGCAAAGTGTTCATCTCCCCAAGCTGCTTCAGTTGTATCTGGGTACTGAAGGTGACAAACTGATCAGAAGAGCAACCTGAGAGTAGGCCAGCAGAGAATCTGAGCACTAGTACAGAGAGTAGCGCCTAAGAAGAGCATACTTCCCAGGAAACTGAACCAGTCCAGTATGGCAAGTGTTCTTCTCCTCAGAGTAACTTCCAAAATGCTCACAAGCAGCACAGTATTGTTGTGGTATTTGCAAACTTCAGAGAGTCAGCATTCCTAGCACATATTTCTCAGACTGCTTTTGCTCTTTTTTCTCTACCAGAATAAACCCCCAAACCACCATCACCTGAAAACACTAGAAGTTACAAGAGTTAGGAGTAAACTATAGTAGTACCAATCTCACATAAAAGACAATCTACCATTATTCAAAAAACAAATTAAATTACATCTTCAAGTTCATTAAATCAGATGGTAGTAGATTCAGACGGCAATTTCATCATTTGCAAGAAATATTTACTGCATTAGCCTCAATATAAACCAAGTGTTCTGAATAAAAACTGACCTGGTTTATCTAGTAAAAGCTGCATTCACACAAAAGAGTTTATAATATAATACCCCATGCGCAAACCAAAGTAAAGCAATGATTCCCAACACCAGCAACAACAAATAAGTCATTTTTGAAGAGTGCAAGTTATGGAAGCGATAAGAAACCATTCTTATACAACATCCTTTACAGTAACAACACCTTCATTCTTGAAAAGCTGACAGCAATATGGGAGGAAAGATAATTGGAAGAAAATGAAATTCTCAACTTTGTATTACTAAGATTGAATGCATTTGTACTGAAGAGAAAAACACCAGTAAAATATAATAAAACAAACCTACTATAGATCTACACACACTGGAAAAACACCTCCCATCCCCACACACCTCTTTACTCCTTCTGACAAGGAGTTACCAAACCCCACTGTTGTGGTGCAAGAGTTTCACATATTGCCTGTTCCTCTTGTCTCTGAAAGGACCAGTGAAGGCAGCAAGGTATCAATGCCAGCTGCATGTTCAAATTTCCCATTTTCATATTGGTGATTCCTGTATCTCACCCCTTCCCCCTAGAAACACATGCTCAGCCAAACACACCCTATTTCTTTCATCTTCAACCCAGGCGAGGACAAAGGCTACAGGACTAGCTAGAAAGAGTCACCACAAACTATACACAATGTATTCCCTACTTCCCAGACACAAATCTAGGAAAAGGCACATTATTACATTGATTAGGACCCTGCTATTCATTCAAATATTGTCAATTACGTTCCCATTTGTGTTTAAACATTTCCTGCTTTGCAGAAAGTTCTGGCAAGAGAGCCAAGACAGCCTTGCCCAAGAACAGCAAGCTACAGAGAACCTAGTATACAATTATCTCTCAACAGATTTATGGAAGAGCTCTACTTAATCCCCTAAATTACTGAATACAGCAAATTAGAGATTTTTTAAAGACTGTTGCCTTTTTTTGTTTTGTTTCTTAGCAGAGGACTAAGAAATACATTTTACTCCTATTGTTACATATTATTCGATAATAATTTTCTTGTTCTTCACCAAATTTATATCCTAGACATTCACCAGAGAGACTACTGAAGGCAGCAAAAGGTCCGTTGCTATGCTGAACACAGATGAAAACTGAAATATTTTAAAGTACACGGGCATAAAAGTCCCTTTTGAGACTCCAATTTTTCAATCTGAGAACATATAGAGCATTAAAACAAGGCTGACTCCTCCTAAATGATCACATCAGTGCAAGAACAAGATTCTACATCCACCTTTTGATGAGAAAATGCTGAACAATCCAAAAACGTCACAGTAATGGAATTTCTGTTCCTTTGAATGTGCACTGTCCAAGCAATACAAAGTGAACAGAAACAGCAACTACACTGTTTATGCATGAAGTAAACTCAGCAACTATAATCTTGCTGTAGTTTACTTCATGCATAAATTAAGAGTGATTGGGTTCATGATCTGATGCCATCCATTGTCTGGGACAAAGCAGCACGAACAAGGTTTGTTGAACGTGTAATCCTCACAGAAAGGAACACGCTACTTATGTTCTGAAGATCCCTTATAAATACCAAATTTTATCACCAAAATCAATTGTTCACCTGCCACCTTTTCATAAACAGTACTAGCAGACAATCCACATTCCGTTTGAAAACTAGACAGCACCGACTAGGAATTTCTCTGGGGCAGTCTGCTAATTTTGTGTCTATTGCATTGTTTTTCTGAGTTGCCAAATACTGGATGGAGCATGAAATAACTACTGAAGTGACTAAAGGACAGCACTGTAACCATTAAACTAAGTTATTTAGCTTTGAATTTCAGATCAACTATCATATATGGCAGTCAAAAAATCTGTCAGTGCATGGCATAAACTTTTTTTCTTTCTCTCCTTCCCACTCATCATATGCTCTCAAATCTACTTCCCAGTTGTTCCAGAACTTGAGGCACCGCAGTCTTCAGGTTCCTACTAAAAACCTGAAACACTAGCCAATGAGTTAAGTGGCACAGCAATACTTTTCAATTTCTCATTGAAAAGCACTCGTATTGAGGAGCAGCTATTTTCCAGGTTACAGGCAGTACAGAAGAGCTCATACCTCACCTAGTAGTAAGCACTAAACTAGACCTTCCATGGGAATCACCAAGCCTTATGTCCACAAGCAAATGATGAGATTAAGCTTGTCTCCAGTCCTACATAAAAGACAACAGTATGTACGTACATATTTTTCAGGCTCACTATACAAACCTGATGTTGGTATGCTGCACCTTTATTGACCTGTGTAAATTAAACTGATTTATGTAGGGACTAACTTGCAGTATCCTTATACCACATACAAGTAAACTATTATGGGGTTTGCTGGATTGTTCTAAGTAAAAATAAGCAAAAGAATATTGGTTTTGTTCAGTTTCTACTCAGTGTATTGTAACATATGAGTACTACTAGGTGAAAACTTGTTTTAGGGAATATAGCACATAGTCAAGGGACAGACATTAGACTGGATGATGTTCAGATGTACGTTCATTCCCTACAGGCTTTACACTTCCCTTTCACAGCAGTCTGAATCTTCAACGTAAGAAAACAGTTTGGAGCTAGAACTTCGGTTGGTTTGGGGTTTTGAGTGGTTCTTCTAAGTCAAAATGTGAAGAAGGCAGCAGAGACATTCTCCTTAAGGAAACCTGAACTAACTTTTAAGTGAACTTAAGAAAACTACCCATTCTGTTCTGACAGAATGCTAGCACTCTTGACAAACAAGTGTTCCTGCTACAAAAACTTCACTGAGAAGCACCATTTTAAGTTTTCATTTTTTAAGACTGACACAAAAAATGTATGGTGTTAACAGATCATAACATTGTTACTTCTATGATTTTTTCATCCCAAGATGTCTTTTGCTTTAAAGAGGTCTAAGCAGTTACCAAGTCCAAGGATTACTTAATGAAATCCCCAGGTAAAAATATCAAGCAGTAGAAATACCTCTCGACCGAAGATACGGAAAATGAGCCATCAGATATTATTCAGAGAAGAAAGGACAACCTTGACCTCCAAACAAGTATTTCTAAGACTTTCATGGATAAAAGCAAGACCTTTTTCCCTGACTAAGCCTAAGAAACAGAAGTCAGTTAACTTGGCAAATTATGGAAATAAATGTCCAGTATTAATCAACAAGCAACCGACTGAATCAGTTTGCTACTTGAGCATGTGTTTTGGAATTGTCTTTTGGTACAAGGCCCATTCATACAGTTCAGCAAGTTCAAAAATGCTCTTCCGGTAGTTTACCTTGAAAATCCATTTTCTTCATCCTATTAAACAAGGACCACTGAAGTTTCAGGCAGACTTGGAAACTGAGGAAGATGTGACAACTGAATCAGAAGAGGCCATGACAACAGGCAAAGTACTAAGGTAATAAGAAGACATAAGCTACTCAAGAGAGAGTAACACCAGTACTAAACTGTATGTCCTGGGAAAGCAAACTTGCAAGACAGTTCCAAGTAGGAAAACCAATTCACATACACCTTAAGAAAGATTCTGCATGACAACCAACCACAGTTAGTTGTAAGAAGTATGTTTCTTCCAGATGCATTTCCTCACATCAGCAAGGTTCTGCTACTTTCAGTCCCTCGTCAGTCTCCAAATAGAGGTGAACATGTCAATTCCAGAAAGGCTAAATAAGCAACTTAATCCTGGTTTTTAGGACTTCATGGTTTGGGGTTGTTTCCAGAACACATTTTGGTAAAAAGAAAAAACAAAACCCAAACAAAATCATCCTGTACAGATTTTATAACCTATGCATTACAGACCAGTCTTCACAATCAAAACAGCAGGTGTATCTTTGTATGGTATGTCCAGGAACAAAATGGAGATTTAAAAAGCAGAACAAGGACAACTCCAAAGCAAGGAAGTATGGAGGAAGTTTGCACATGTATTGTGCATGCTGGAATTCAGAATGTAGTCAAGAGAGGTCTTTTGAGAGGTGGCATTATGATTAACAAGATGTACTCAAACATTTGTGCTAAGCCTGTTTTAAGTGTATGCCACTGCAACGTTAAGATGTCCTATGCACCACTGATCTTAGAGCTTAGTTCCAGACTGATTTAACTGCATCATTTCCCCAATGCCAACAGAGAAACTGGCTGGCCTCATCATGGTGGCAGCCCACTTTGCTAGTCTTGCCTGTGACAGACATGCACTTTGTCTTGTGGTATCACAAGATGTAATACCAACAATAATACGCAACTCTAAGATCAAAAGCACCATGGATTTAATGGAGAAAGGTCTATTTGGAGAATTCTGGAAACCCTGTCACAATATGATTAAAATACCCAAGCAGCTTTCTGTAAGCTGAAAGGGCAAGAATAAAAGTACACTAAAAAGTAAGCCCTTCAGAATTAGGTCAAGTGACCTTGACTTTAGTGAGTGAATTTCAGAAGCAGTGAAAGAATGGCTTCCCCTTCTAGATGCCACAAAAGCCTGATGTTTCAACTACAGTCGAAAAACTTGTTACACACCATAGGAGATGGTTATGCACAGGCAAATGATGAATTAGATCACCCAGAAAGGTATTCTGCAGGTTTCTATCCACACTGGAACTAAATGCTAGAGAGGAACTTCAAAAGTCTGTGGTTAAGTACTAAGCGTATCTGAGATATATTTAAAGGTATTCAAACATAACCACCCCTAGGTCTGACATATGGAAGTACAAGAGGCACCATGTTTTATCCAGACATTTTTCTGTCAGATGAATAAGACTTTTTTTTTTTTTTCCCCCTCAAATCAACCCAGTCCTTTTTACAATGTATCTGTGCCAGACTTGTTCCCCTTCATGGGGTGGCAATGGGAAAGAAATGGAAGGAAAATGAGGATATTACTGCCAAAAAACAGAAGGGAAAGACTGGATAATGAAATAAACCTACCTTCATCTCTTCCTTATAGAAGAAAACATTTCAAGAAGTTAGATGTTAGACTCTTCTCTGAAGAACTAGAACCCTATGAGAACACGTTTGACTTTTTTTGATACATAAGAAGTTACTAACACCATGTTGCAAAAGGTCAAGAACTGAGATTAAATTTCTGGGAGAAAAGAAGGTATGTCTTCGTGTCACTTAATAGAAGATAAGCAGAAGCCAAGGGAGTGTGATGAAAAGCAAGAATCACCACAGGCTTCAGAGGAAGAGTTACCTGGGAACAGAAAACCCAAACAAACCCCAAAACAAACCCTGGACACTTGGAAGGGGAATGTTTCCAAGGCTAGGCACGTGAACGTGGGATGTTCACTTCCCTCCTGCCAAGGAAGGCACATACACTACATAAGAAGTCTTCTGAGTATCATCGATGAAGGACAATTATGCTCAGTATTTGCCAGTCTACCCTAAAGAGGATTACACTCCTCTCCTGCAGAGAGGAGGTCAGGGGGAAGAGGAAAACGAATCATCTTCTCTGTGTGTCCATGTCCCAGAGAACCATCTTCGCCGCATGCGACTGCCTCTCCAGAAGCACAGCCAGGATCAGTACTCAAGCCCACCCAGATCACGTCAAGCGTCTCCATCCTTTTAAAGCAACAGTCTGAAATTCGAGTTTTTGTTTTTTCTCCTCGTGGCAAAATAAATACGGAAAAGAAGGAGGAGTAGGAGAAGAATGTAAAAGCCCCTCTGACACTGAAAATCTCATCCCCAGCAGCTTCTCTAGTCCAAACCATGCCACAGCCTCCTCCACACCCGCAGGATTTTGCATGCAGTTGTGTGAGGTGCATAAAGAGCCTATCTAATGAACAAGATGAAGAGGGGAGTGAGGGAGAGAAAGGAAGGAAAGGGAGGGGAACAACCTTTCTTTTCTCTGCTCTTCCTGGGAATGTGAAAGTTCCTTCTAACATGCAGATCTTCTGGGAGCTTAGGGAGAGGGGGAGGCCCCCCCAGCTGACTGCTGAGCGGCTGCTGCTGTTGTTCATTTGCCGTTGAGATGCTGCTCCTGCGCTGGCTGCTCCTAGCAGTGATGCTGAGGTTTGGGGGGACCTTGTCCTCAGCAGCAACAGCAGTCACCAGCAGCGCCTCCCCACTGCTACTGCTCTCACAGCGTCCGCCATTTTGTGTGCTGCGCTCGGCAGCTCTAGGACTCTCCACCCCGACGAGGCCCGCGCTGGTCTCCGTCCGCTGATGGTGCTCCGGCTCCATCTCGTCACCATTAAGCATCACGGCATCCGCCATTCGCTCCTATCTCCGAGAAGCGAAAACTACAGCCCGCGTCTCCTCTTCCTGCCTCAGCGAACTGTTCCTTCCCCGCGCCCATGCACCGCTCCCATCCGCTACTGCTCCCCCTCCGTCCGCTCGCTTTATGGCAACCCCGACACCCCCTCCCCGAGCGATAACATGGCGGCAGCGCACGCGGGCAGGGGGCGGGGCTGCAGCCAGTCCAGCTTAGCCAATCCGCTCGCGGTACGGTGGGAGCCGGCACAGCCGGTGTCGCGATGGGACCGCGGGCCGGTGTGGAGGGTCCGCGCGCGGAGTCGCGTTCAGACTGCCCGTACACCCCGCCGCCGCCTGGGCGAGCCCCGGCAGGCCTCGAGAAAGTTCCTCCGCCTCGCGGCCGCCCGCCGCCGGTCTGCTGGGCTGGGGCGGAGGCCGCCTCCTCGTTTCCCGCTTTCCTTCTACCAGCGGCTGCGCCTTCCTTCGGCTCTGGAGAGGCCCGAAGCGAGGGCTCGGTGTCGCAGGTCCCGGTGTCCGTCGGTGGTTGCGGCGGGACGGGTGCGCACGCAGTGCCCTGGGGAGAGGTGACAGGGAATGTCGCTGGGATAATGCCACATACTTCAGCCTGCACTTCGCAGGCGGCACGGCGGCAGTGCCGTGAAGTGCCTGGCCCACTGCTGCGGCACAGTGCCCAGGTACTTTCGCCCTCTACCCGGACAACAGCCGAGCCGCGCACGAGGTTATCGCCACAGGCCCCCGGAACAAGAACTGGTGTGCTGCCAGCGCCAGTGCCTGCTTCTCCCCCCAACGTGAGGGGGTTTTCAGTACATTGGACACAATGAAAAAAATCTCCAGTTTGAAGAATACAAAATTATTAACCATGAAGGACAGGCATAAATTGTCCTATACTGCAATAGAAGTTGGGATAGTGTCATGATTCATTAGAACAGCACCAAATAACCTTCCCCACCCAGCAGCTTCCTCTGCATTGGGGGCATACACTGATAAACTGTCTTTAGAGTAATGCCTTTGGACTAACACATCTTCACTGTAAGGAGTAATTCTAATGAAAATACCCAAAAGTATGAGAGACAGTTCTTAGTAAACTGTTAAAATACAAGTTTTGTTACACTTTGAGGACAGAAAAAGCAAAGGAAATGTGTGTTATTGCAATGACTTTTTAGTTCTGTAACTTCATTGAACTTAACTCTTACACATTTAATCAAGTGCATGTAGGATCATGACAAAAGACAGGCTCTATAGCAAGGGTACTTCAGTGACAATAGCTACTTGTATTCCATGCCTTGCGAATCTACAAACTGCAAGCAAGTTTCAACGTGAAAAAACAGAATGTGCAAGTAACAAACTGACCTTCTTCAAAAAATAAACAACTTCAGTGTCTCAGCAGTAAGATAAGGAAATACAGATCAACTGAAGGCCACACAATCCACTGCTCATATACCAAAGAGTACTATTTTTCAAATGGAGTGAAACCGAATGCCATAAATGGATGTGGTGCTATTGAAGCTACATCAGGAACTGTTTTCCAGCAGATTTGCTAAGGAAACTGGGATGGTTCCATGCAACATGGGTTTTTTTCCAGTGCAAGAGCTGAGTAATAAGGTGAAGCTGTTACAAGTCTTGTTTACACAAAGAAAACATAAGATTGTATTTATGGACCCAAGCATGACACAGTAAAACTGTGTCACATTGTGACAGAAATGCTAACTTTAATTATTTCTCTCTCACAACATCAATATTGTCTGCTTTGTATTCTGTAATTAAAAGAATAGTGTGAGTGCATTTAATCCTTGTGGTCCTTGCATAAATCAGCTTTTAAGGAAAAAAAAAGGCTTCAAATATTATGCCAGTAACTGGCATTTCAAAACAATAAATAATGAGATGTCATCACACTTTTGTTAAGTATCCAGCTTTGCTGGATTCCTCTGTAGTACTCCAAGGTGTTTCTGCATTTTGTGGTCCATCCTACACCTGTATTGGAGGCCAGTATCAAAACACAACTTTAACACTTACCTCTGCCACCCCTGCTGCAAAGCTTGTAACTTCTGGTAAAAGAAGGGTATGAATATGTGAGAGCCAAAGCAAAGACCGTTCACTGGCAACTCTGAGGAATGAACTAAATTGAAAAGTGCCTGCTGAAAAATAACAGTGCCTAGGAAATGAGAATACCATGTTTAGTTCTACAGGTAACTCACAAAACACTGAAAGTTTTGTTTTCCTTGTTAAAAGTATACTAGTGCTGTTGAACAAATGCGTATTTCATTACTTTTATCAATTATCTTAAACCCTGATAACTGCAGCCATTTATACTGTCATCTCAAAAGCAGCTACCAAGCTTAAATGCAGAGTTTTACCTATGCAAGGAACAAATATTTTCACCTAGCCCTTTTATTGATCACTTTTTAGATTAGCTGCAAATCAGAAGACATAAGTAACTTATCAACCAACAAACGGTTTGGTGCTAACAGTAGCCTCCAGGGTGTTAAGCTAAGCTAATAATTATTAGTTTCTTCTTAGAAGTCTTTGGGGAGCCGCCAAGTTTAAACAGGGTAATTAGTATCTGTAAGTACAATTTACATAAATTACAGAAACATAACACCAAACATTTATCTAATTGCAGAAACATTATCCAGAGGTAATAAAACCCACAAATGCTGTGTTCAACCTATGGGTACATTTAAGATTGTGTCCCTGAGAACTTGATGTCCTGCCTCTGTGAGGGTTCAGTAGTGCTAAAGAGAATATTACAAATGAGCCAACATACTGTCACAGTAATTTTGCTGTGTTTTACCTCATTCAAATGGAATTTCCACCTACAAGTAAAAAAAAATAAATACCAGAATACCAGTCTAGTGTTATTGAAGTCTGTGTTGATCCATCATGCATCTCCAAAGACACCAACCCGTTTTATTAAGTTTCATTTGGTAAAGCTGCTAAAATCACATCCAGGCTGTGTATATCTTCAGTGTATAACTGCTGAATGGGTTGTTTAGATTTGATTCTATCTGGCTGCCTGCATTCACAAATGAGCAATAATACCCTAGTGAGTGAGGCTGGTATACTCACTCTCGTTTTACACATATCACAGTATCACAGTAGGTTAGAGATTGGAAGGGACCTCAAAAGATCATCTAGTCCAAATACGCTTCTTTGCTGTAATTTCTGAAAACATCTAATGATTCTCTTGTGCTACATCCGTCTAAATCATTATTTGAAGGTCGGAAAGAAGGGTGGTGTTTTGTCTAGAAGGGATAAGTTAAATAACAGCAGTTATCAAATATGGAAAATGCCATTACAGAGATGGAAATATTTTCCATGTCCTTGATGACTAGAGTGAGGTTTAAGTTGTATCAAAGGAGATTTAGGTTAAATGTTAGGGAAACTGTCTAGCAGTGGAAGTTGAGTGCAGGAAAATAAGCTTTGGGGACACTCTAGGATTTCTTTAGCTTGTGCTTTAAAGTTAGGTAAAAGAAATTTCAGAAGGGGTTCATATATTTAATGTAGGTACTTGCAACCAGATCATCTATTCTCATTCTCTGAGAATCACTGAAAAACGCTTTGGGCAAGGTAAAAGAATTTTTCAAAAGAAAATGAGCTTTTCCAGTAGCCATTAAGTTGTTGCATATAGAGGTAGTAAGTATATATGACTTCTTTTTATCCTTAGGAAAACATATTTTTTAGCATGTATATATGTATATACACACACAGAGTACATCTATTTCCTTGCTTGCTTGAATTATTGTAACTCTATTGACATACTGTTTACATTAGATGAGGACCTATCTACAGAAAATGAACATGAAGAAGAAACACTAAGTTTAAACTGTGTATCTTCACCATATTCCAGTAATTCTGGAATAGATCTATGTTTTATGTATCAACTATAGAGCCATTCCAGTAAGTTCTACAAGCACTAAAGAAACAACTACAAAAAAAAGTAACGGTAGGAAACTGCTGTCTACTAAAATGACCCTGCAGCTCTGAGAAGTATGCTTACTACCACTTTTACAATAAACACTTAAAAATAACCCTAAAGCATATGTTTACAGTGTATTTCGATGTGCTCAATAACTTAATCAGTTAAGTTCAACTTGCTTAATAAGAAGAAAACCCCATAAAAGTGTGTATCATAACAAATCCAAAAAAAGGTACGAAGTCTTGCTTATTTACCAGACAACATACAAAGAGGTTTTCCTCACCACTTGCTTTAAAGAGATACTTGTTTGCAGTTATACAAAATTATTGTAGGCATTCATTAACACAAGCCTGGGGGAGATCATCACAAACATTATAAGGTTATAAAATCTGTCATAGAATCATAGAATAGTTAGGGCTGGAAAGGACCTTAAGATCATCAAGTTCCAACCCCCCTGCCATGGGCAGGGACACCTCACTCAAAACCATATCACCCAAGGCCTCATCCAACCTGGCCTTGAACACTGCCAGTCACCTTACTGTTTTTCTAGTTTCTGGTTTCTATAGTTTCTGCGGTTTCTGTGATTTGCCAAGCATTCAACCACGACTCCCTGGGCTTGCACTAAGTGGTTTCCCTCCCAGGTATAAGGCAGCTGCAGATTCCTTTGAATCTGAAATCAGATGATACTTAAAACGTTAGTAATAGAGATTGACATAAGATTAATAGCCACAAAAGACACAAGACTGGAGTGCATGAGGCTCCATGCTGAAGGAGAAAACTTGGGTGCTTGCTCCAGACGTTACCTCAGTATTCTTTCATGAAAGCAGATTTAGAAAAGCAAAATATTATTTAGTCTAAGCATATTGTTACAGTTTAATTGAAGAACTAGAAATTTCTGTTTTACTTTCAAAAAAATTATGCCAGTGCAAAACACATTTCTTCAAATGTTCAGTGCTGACTAAACTTTTGGTGCCAGGAGATCAATGGTAGGAGAATTGTATCATTAGCTTTCTTCATAGACCATACAGAGAGGTACCTTCAGAAAATTCAGAGACAAAACCTAATTTACACACTTGGAAAGAGCTTTAGTACCATTTACCGTCCACGGCAAAAACCTGTGATCATAAAAACCCTGTGCTGGTAGTAAAAATGCCTATA